ATTACTAAATAAATATACAGCAAAAATATCTGTCCATGAGGACAGAGCTTCTATTTAACTTAAAGATGTTCTACATAATTCAGTATTTTATAGTGTATTAACCTTAATATTCATTTTCTTTCAAGGTCATTTACACTTTCTTCACAACCACAACACCTATAAAAAAAATCATCTGCTCTGATAAACAATCTTTTGGAGCTTTTCCACTGCGTGGTACGACTCGGCTCGGCTCGGCACGGCTCAGTACGGTACGGCACGGCACGGCTCGCGTTTCCACTGCAGTTCAGTACCGCTTTAGAGGGGGCGGGATTATTCACGTCATTTGAATTGATTCAATGCCAAACAACGATAACAAAATATGTTCACCACTGCAAACATGACTTGATAAATGCTTTATAGGGTTCTTGAATATCAAATACTAACAGCTAGAGTCAGGAATGCAATTTACTTATTGCTTGCAGGAATTATTCAAGCAATTGTTGCAATTTTGAATAGGGACATGGAATTGAAAATAAGATCAATTCTCATTATCGTCTCGTGACTGTGCAAAAATTATAAAAGTATATATCATTTATAATCTACAGAACAATCAAGCAAGCTAAACAACATATTTTCTTTGCACAACTCTGGCTTAGGAGTTCAACCATGCTTCACAAATGACATGATTTCAGATACACATTTTCTCTATATCTAGCAAATACTCTTGTAAAAACCACAATATAAAATAAAACCTAACAAAATGGTTTAATGATATACGATTAATGAATGATACATCTGCACCCTACAATGAAAAGCACATCCGTGTCATAAACACAACCTTACTGCTATTAAACTCTGCATTAATATAACCAAAATATTCACAATTCATTCAAACAAAAATTAAGTCCTAGCAAAATATAAATAGGAAAACTAATAATTATAATTTGCATTTCTTTTTCTGTAATCTCATTTTGTTTAAAAAAAAAAATCTAAAATAACTGCACATTCATAAATGATTATGCAAATGTGATACCAGCTGCTAAAAGACTATCTCTGAAGTCAGTTTATTAAAAGAACAAGGTTCATAAAGATAAAAAAAAAACGAATGTGCTGAGAGCAAAGCAGAACACTTGAGCAAAAGTCTTTGAGTGTAGAAAGGTGGGAGAGACCTTGGACTCAAACATTCACCCGGACCCCAGCCCTTCTGCCTACAAGCTCTACTTGCCTTCCAAATGAGAAAACAAGTATCCCATCACCCAGGATATTCACAGTGTTTAATCTCCAGGTTCCTCAAAGGAAAGAAGTCAAAAAGAGACCGACGGTCTACCTATATCTAAAAAAATGGCTTTGATTAGCAATTGCCTAAAAGCAGTGATGAGCAAGGATTTCTTCCTGATACCTTGAACAATATCGCCATCTGTCGTTCACAGAGGGAAATGTGTCAGAACCAGGAATCAGGATTGAGTCTGATAATGCAGTTTAGCTAGGTTTATGGTCTCTGTATTGATGTGACAAAATCAAAGAGAAAACTACAAAAATTTCAATATTCAAATATATATAGCTTTGTGTAAACGAGGTAAGTTTGTCAATTTAATCCACTAAGACATCTTCCATAATTCCTTTATTCAATATCTCCTGTGGTGGTTAAAAGTGGGGGAATGAATTTAGAGATCTTTATTTATTTATAAAATATCAGCACTTAATGTTTGAAAAAAATTAAAATAAAAAAACCGTTGTGGATCCTGTAAGGTATTATATAAGTAACAGAGTGGACCGATATAACAAGGCATAGAAGACAAACTTTTCTTCTCGCTTTAAACAGATATATTTTTTTCCCCAATTGTTTTTATTAAATTACGCCTCCATTTCTTAATTTTTTTTTTGACCAATAAAAAGTGCAGCTGAAAGGCACTGACTTTTATGTTTGGCTTTCACAGCCCCTGACTGACAAATAAGCTTTTACTTTTTGTTTCTTTTTGTTTTGTTCTGCGAGCATGTGCTTGTTTTTATATCTTTAGCACTCTCCTTTTTACTAATATAAGGCCTCCGCAGGGGTTCTCGGATTTAAGACCCTGTGGCCCCATTATCAAAATGAAGCCATCATGAAGCGAGCATACCTTCGGGATGTCCTTCTGATTTCTGCCTACTTTCTCTTGAAAAAAGGCAGGGTTAAGAGGTCGGCCGGTCCCCGTCTGCTGCCGAACAGGAGGCTTAGTCTGGCGAGTGGGATGGAGTGAAGACTTCAAACCGCGGGTGAACGGGTGAGTGCGAGCGAGGGTAAAGAGAGAGAAGCTCCAGGGAGGCCAGAGGAGGGGAAGGGCAGGACAAGGCCTTGATTTCCCGTGGAAGCACAACAAAGCCTCTGCTTTTTTAGAGAAAGCAGCGATGGCCCTCTCCCTGACACCTCTTAGAAGTGTGCGTGTGTGCTCGCGTTGCGTGGCAGAGAGGATAAGCCATCCACGCTAAAACATTTGGCACTTCTGAGGAGTCAGCTGAATCTCCCGGCTTCAGGACAAGTTTCTGGGGTTTGCTGTCAATGGCGGCTTCAGGGGGCTCTGTTCTTCAAATGCACGTAAACAAACTCAAATCACCAAGGAAAAAAAGGACTTTCAATCAGAATCAGATCTCACTCTAAAAACACAAAAACATCTGTCCATTACTATTATATTTACTATTGTAAAAATGTTCATTCATGTAATATTCTCAATTTCATTGTTATTACTATCAGAAAAAGTTTGATCTACTAAACTGAGTTTGGAAAGCACAAAACACTTTTCAAACAAATGACGGCTTAAAATGTTAACAACATCTTGCATATCCACGATTAGTTTGCATAGAAATATATCCAAAAAAAACAAGGTGAAAGGCAAAGGAACGCAAACCATGAACGGTGCACTAAACCAGATCACAGCGGGTGTTAATTGCATGATAATTAAGCACAGCAACAGTCAAGCAGGAGAAGCTAAAGATTAATCATCGGCCAATTAAATGCCCACGGTGAGGAACGTGAGGCCCCTCGGAGACGAGAGATCTCCACTGTGATCTGAGCTATCAGCACAGCGGCACAACATCAGATCACTGGCAAAAGATCCTTTTCAAAAATCTCCTCATTTATGTCAGCCTTTTTGGAATCGTTGTGGATGCCGTAGCCATCTGGTAATTGATATCAAGAGCACCTTGAGTTAGGTGCAGGTGCTGAGTTTGAAAGCAACGACTTCAGATGAAGAGAATTTGCTGCGTGCTGAGACTTCATATGGTGGCATCAGTGAATGGAGTGGATTGCAAAGAGAACAAGGCTACAGAGGGACTGAAACGCTTTAAAACGGTTTAACACCAATGTGATATATATGTGATATATATTATATCCTTTTCAAAAAGGACACATACATACATGTGATCCTTCCGCATAAATTACATAAATATATATATTTATTTAGTTAACTGATTTATTTATTTTATAAATATATACATATATTTATTTGTGTTTGCATAATACTATATACTATTTATAGCATAAAAATCTTTATACATTTATAAATATATTTATTTATAAAATTAATTATACAAATAATGCTATAATAACTAACTAAATAAATTATAATTAAATATAGTTATACACTTCACATGGAAGGATAACAT